GTAACGAACTGAAGGCTCGTAATAACCTCCACCAAGGAGGTTATGTTTTTGCCGGCGTTTGTCTGTTTGTTTGTTTGTTTGTTTGTCTGTTAGCAACATAACTCAAAAAGTTATGGACTGATTTTGATGAAATTTTCAGGATTTGTTGGAAATGTGAAAAGGAAGAACTGATTTCATTTTGGGGGTGATCCGGAAAAAATCCTGGATTCTGGATCACTTTGAAATTTTAGTTAACATTGTGGTAAATGGGGCCAAAAATTATGTTTCTCAATATCTCGATTAATTATTGACCAAACCCCATGAAATTTGACTCAGGGATGGACAATGGGATCCTCTTTCATATTCCAAATTGAAAGATACGAGACAAATATTTATGGAAAACACAATTAATATGAGGGGGGCTGTAGTCCTTGGCGGAGGTCTGCGCTCTCTGACTGCTTTTCTAGTTTATTCTGTAACGGAGACCTACAGCGCAGAGTCCTGCACGGCTCCATTTTTGGAGACTCGCACCTGTGCAGGACAGGACCGCACCTGCCCATTAACCCGAGATTATATCAAAATTTTTGTGCTGCCTACGCCACGGATTGGACCAAGACTAAATCAGGACTAAACCAGGATTAACCTAGGACTGATTCCAGGACTCAAGAGGAGGACTAAACCAGTTCTAAAACAGGAGTAAACCAGGACTAAACCAGAACTGAAACAGGACTCAGGATTGGGACGGGCTCGGAGATGACTGCAGGAGAAAGGACCGACGGAGAGCTCCACACGTCACGGTAAATGTGGCAATTGCCCGATCGTGCTGCACTTCAGAATCACACTGATAGAGATCGAACATTTATGTAAATCTGTCAAGCTGAACACATTCTGTACTGTAGAGGAGACACGGCACGAAGGAGATTGATTGACAGTGGTCTAAAGCCAATCAGGACACAGGGGGAGGAACATAATACGTGTTCTGTAACAAAAAAAGCGTGAACAATTGGGCTAAAAAAATCCGGAAAACAGCGAGACCAGGAAAGGTGAACGGCAACATAACGACTGTAAAGTGTAAATTATAACTCACCAGTAGATGGCAGTATTGTTATGAACTATGATTGAATTACAAGATTTCATCATATAGCTTAAATTCGTTGTTATGCTGCAGCAACAGCTAAAAAAACAGAGAACTACATAGACCATGATGCTTTGCTCTCATTCAGTCCAATCTATATGATAAAATAACTGGTAAACATTTTTAAAATTTTAATTATATGCGTATTAACAGTTTTGTACAAAATATTGCAATAAATATCGTACCGTGAGATGGTTATCGTGAAAATATTTGAGTAAATGAGTACAATTTGATGTTAAAAATCACATTCTACTGTCTAAACAAAGAGAATCAGAATTGGTATTTTTGAGTATTTACGGGACAAGATCTCGTGCGACAAAATCTCACGAGACACAATTGTCATGGGATTGTGCACACACACTGAAAATTATCTCGAGAGATTTTTTTCCGATGTTTTTATGTTTGGATTGGGGACAAAAATGGAGTGAAGTTGAGAAGTTGTCGTCCCAAAAAGTGCTGCTACAACGACAGCAGAAATATTAAATAAAGTAAATCAAAGATGGTGAAGCCAAAGTTGGGAACTGGATTGCGCAATTTATTTAAAAAGAACGTCAAAATGTCGTTTTATCTCGTTCTCGTTGTTCCGATCTTGTGTCTCGTCTCATTTTGTGGAAGTTATATCTCGTTTCACTCCTCGTATCGTGAGAACACTACTTTAACTTTTGCAGATTTAAGCTTTGTGTGCCCGAAGTTGCCGATACGATATGTTTTTCGATACAGTACACTTTTGATTCAATTGGATTAGATGCGATATATTTCAAATCAATTCGATGCAGTTCAGTGAAAAACAAAGGTTCAATCATGGCGTTGATACTAAAAGTCTAAGTCCACTAAGTCTGAGCAAAGTTAATATGAAAAACATCCATTTCACTCATCAAAACTGTGAAAATGTCAACACAATTGTAGCTCTTACACAAAATAATTTTGTAAAATATACTTAAAAATACTCTTGGTGATATATCGATACAGTATCATCAAATGAAACAATACGATTTATCGATGTTTCAATATTTTTGCACAGTCCTAGTGCCCATTTTCAGGTGTAACAGTGACTTGTGAGGGCGTGTACCTTCAGAACAAAGCCGATGGGGAGGAAGAAGAGCTCTTTCTGGTAAATAAAGTTTAACATGATCGTCCCGTTCTCCAGATAATGGAGGTTCATGTTGATGGCGCTGTGCTCGTCTCTCACACAGCGCATCTGAATACCTGAAAAAAACACAACAATATTTCACATTATTAAGCTGCAAAAAAAAATAAAATCTTGGTTGACTAAAGGACATTTAACTCTTTCCCCCCTGGACGCCGACTAGGAACAACCCATACATATGTTACTAGGACCACGGATAGAGCATCACTGCATAAAAGAAAACAGACTTCCACGAGTGATTATAAATGATTTTTACACTCATGAACTTAATTGTAACACAGACATATTTGTATCTCTGGAAACCTCAGACTCTGAACTCTTCATTTATGGATATTTAAATGTGATTCAACTCATTTACAGGTTTATAACAGCTCACTGAAAATGAGAGTTTACCTGGTCAGGTGCAAAATCGAAAACAAAAAACTACATTCAGCATCTGATATCTGCATGTTCTGAGTACTATATTCATAAAAAATTAAAAAATATACACTTTGTCAAAGTATTTAAACAGATTTCATATCACCAGATACAGTATAACCAAGTGTGCACCTGTTTTTACCTGTTGTACACCTGTGTGCACCCAATTCATTTTTTTCCATTTAACTTATTCAACTCAATTTAGTTTATTCAACTTATTTTATTTATTCAACTCATTTAGCTTATTCAACAAATTTAGCTTATTATAATATAATAATATAAAACTCTTCCCCGTCAGTGTGTGTTCAGTATTTGTCATCTTGGTTATTTTCTCGAGTGCAGAGCTCCACATAAGCGTTTTTTCTGTAGCGATTCTGTTATACATCGCATCTTGGAAAAAAAGACTGAAATATTTTAAAGGACTGGCCTGGGCAACATCCAGATTTCAGGGCAATTTTGGTTCATAATCGAGTATAAAGCTCAGATAGTTTGTTGGGATATTCCAGGACTCCACACAGACGCATCAGCGGCATTCTCACCTTCTCCCCGAAAGTCCGTCGCTGTCGCTGTTTTCCACTTTATAATCACTTCAACATCATCACTTTGAAATCTATAAAAGTCACTTTCTCTAAACTTATCCATAAAATACGTCCGCTCCTCATTATTTCTAAAACTGTGCGCCGCAGCGCCGCGATCTTTCCATTGCACGTGTTTCGTGTTGTGTTTTTTCCGGAAGCTACCATCGTCACTATTTTGATTAACTTCGGAAAAAATCAGCGAAAACATATCCTTGAATCCTATTGGTCAGTCTAGTGTGGGTTGTAGTGGCCTCCACCTATCACAGTCTCTGTTTAAATGTGAAAAACCGAGCCATTTCTAAAGGTCGTCAAATCTCATCTTTAGTGATACGGCGGAGGAGTCAAAAGTCGTCATTAAGGGTTCAGGGGGGGTCGTCAAATGTCGTCTTCATGGGGGAAAGAGTTAATGCATTTATTAGCTTACAACCATAAAATGTGTGTGTGAATATATAATGCAGTGTAAAATAGTGCTACACTGCTGGTTAGGAACCTCCCTATGTTACAGGAGCTCATGGTTGTTTGTATTTTTCCTGGTTTATTAAATATATAATTTTTGCACTTGCGCATTTGTAAGTGTAGCACTTATATAATGTCACAATAGGAGGTATAGTAGTAGTAGTAGTAATAGTAATAACAATAGTAATGGTAATAACGGTTGATAGAGGGTTTTTATTGATGCCATTATCAGCCAAAATTCACTGTTTATCCCCAGTTTATCGGATTTATCTTTTTAAACAGAATGTAAAAGGAAATAGAAACAGAAAAGCTTTAGGCAAAATAAAGAAAAATCCATATTGGAGCGAGTCTCACCGTACTGAGTGTATCCCTGCCCTCGGCTCTTCCACTTGGGTCTGACCATAGCGATGGGGTAATTCCTCCTCGGCATGATCAGCATCCGGATCACCTTCTCTATCCCGTTCACGATAAAATAACCTCCCATTTCCTAACACGGACAAAACACAACATTACAACTTATTAGGCGTTTGAGTTTGATTTTAAAAAGCAGTTTATAATGTGAGGCAAATGCAAATTCAGCTAATCAATAATATTTTTCGAACTGTACAATAAAGTCTTTTCCCAAACCCCATAATAAACATGAACAGACTATTCTAGTATGTGTAAATCTCACCTCTGCTTCCTCGTGGTGCTGGACCAGTTCTTTGGGCGACATGCCGTGGAGGTTACACAGTTTGGATTTGACCATGATCGGGACCAGACCCAGAGACTGTTTGATGATTCCTTTGGGAACGCCATTGATGGACCACGTGACATCGGCCTGGAATAAAACACAGAACACAGACGATTACAATAACGCGTCAAGAAGAATATTTAAAAAGCTAATTACTGTATTTTCAGGATATAAGTCACACTTTTTTCATAGTTTGGGTGTTTCCTGTGACTTAAATATTAAAATATATTAAAGGTTGTATGGAGGATTTTTTATTATTTTTTTTTGTTTCAAATTGTCAGTGATAGATTATAGATGCAGTACCCTTGTAATTATGATGACCAAAAAAAAGAGAATAAAAATTCATCAACTCTGGACGTGGTGGGGCTAAACATTTGCCAATAGATAACGACACTGCCTCGTTATCTGTGAGCTGACAGGCTGTCAATCAAACTCCCTACGTTTCTAGTGTAACTGACTTGCCTGCGCCGCCGTACGTGGTTTACGTACGACTGTCACACAGTCCACAGACGCAAGACGCACAGACGCTGTTTACTCCACCAACACAACAGTTCTTAGCGGCTTTTTTTGACCTATATCTTCCTCGCAGTTCGCACAAAGTTTGTTGCAATGGCGACAAAAATCCAGGAGCAGTTCACCGCAAAAGAAAGTCCGTTTTTGAGGTCGCTGAAAGAAGAAGACAAGGGGAAAAGCAGCGAAGCCAAACTAAGGTGATTCTTGAAGATTCATTCCAGCGATGGCGCGACTGAAGCAGACGAAGGGTCTAAAGACTGAACCACTGGTCCACAAATTACTCCTGGACAGGAAACTTCTGCTTATTATGAAAACGTACTTTATTTCCAAGAGCGAGACAAACGTTTTTCAGGACACGAAAGCGATATCCTATGTCTGAAAACTTAATTTTCAAGGCAAAGAAAGAGTCCGCTTGCTGCTGCGTGTTGTAGCTAGTTCATTCGCACTGAATCTCCGCGCAACCTTCTCTGCTCCCCTTTCCTGCTCCTGTCCCCGCTGCCCGATCCGCTCTTCCCGCTGCTCCTCACTTCTCCGGGCACGGAATCTCCGCTCCCCTCTCCTCTCTCCCTGCTCCTCACTTCTCCCTGCTCCTCACTTCTCGTCCGCGAACGAAATGTCCGCACACCCGCTCCCCCCGCTCCTCACTTCTCCGTCTTGCCTAACCAACACTGTAGTTAGTTGTTTACAAGTCATGTGCAGCACCGGCTGTAAACAAACCTGTTTCTGGCGTAAAGAGGAGGCGGGAGGAGGTGTTTCTCCGTAGGAGCTGTAGGGGAGGGGGGGTGGTTTCACACATGCGCAACATTTGAAAAAGGACAAACAGTTGCTGGATTTCTCCTTCCTTGGAAAATCCTCTATACAACCTTTAATTTCACATGTTGTTATTTTCACACTGACAGCCACAAGAGGGCGCTTTAGGCTCATGTTCCAGTATCTGCTACTCTACAGGCAAGTTTCAGCTGACGTCATTGTTATTAAAAGCCCGCGTTGCTGCTGGGAAATATTTTGGTCGGAGGCAAGAAACAGGATAGCGTCAAACACAGTGCGTAACCTCACGTATTTATCCCCGATAATGGTAAATTCCTGCTGCATTATCGGATGCACAAATAGAAGCACGGAAGAAGGAAAATGTCTTTTTCATATTCTGAGTGAAAAGAACCGCTAACAGTGAATTAAATGACTTTCAAACATCTGCAGAGCAAACGTAGAAGATCCTAACAAACCGTGGACTCCAACAAGTTCAACAACACATCGAGACTCTTGGAGGTTTTCATCTTTTCTGCTGTGAATGGCCCAGGAGTTTCCACCAAGTCATTGTGGATATCGCCCAAGTGAATATTTGTCCAGGTAGTTGGTGATTCCGACCAGAAATTTGGTTTGTTCCACCTTTTGTCGGGGTTGAAAAGGGTGATTTGTCGTCCGTCGATGCTTATGACCAATTTCTGGTCAAATGGTCTTGGGTCCTCTGCCGTTAGAGTGGATAAATAACCGGGATCAATACCCTTTACGTGCTTTCTCGCTCCGTCCGTCATGTTGAATTAGTGTTTTTTTGCCGCTGAACAAAATAATTCCCAGCATGCAACGCGCGCTTTTGTCAACAATGAAACTCGCCTGTTTCTCCTGTACCACTGAAAATTTTAATCTGAAACATCAACTTATAAAGACAACCGAGAAGATTGAACACAAATGACCCCAAAAAAGAAAAGAAAATTCTGCAGATTAGAGTGAAATCTGCAGCTGAAAACTGTAATACAGCAGCAGAAAGAAAGTTTAGAGAGAGCGAGTAACTTGTGAGGGACTGACAAAAAGCTGAGGATACTCGAACTGCGATGGAGAAAACAAAAAAAGCTGATCTTGGGCTAAAAGCTGGACGGCCACAGCTTGAGGAACAAGTTCACAAATGGGTGCTTGAACATCTCGCTGCCGGGAGACGCTTGTCCACGCTGCAGTTCCGTCTCCAAGCCGAGGTAGTTGCCAAGGTGATGAATATAAATGACTTTGCGGGACCTTCTCGGTGTTACCGCTTCATGCAACGCGACCGCCTCCATCAGAGCACAGACAACGATGTCCCAAAAACTGCCAGCGGACTTCCAGGCCGAGGTCGACAGTCTGAAGTGTTGAAATGTTAAGACAGAACACCGTAACATCATGTTTGGTCAAAAATTTGTTAACGTAATTTTGTATTTCAGAGCTTCTTTATCATGTGAATAAATATTGTGAAAAATATTGAGCTCAAAATGGACCTTTGACCTTATTTGTCAGTTCAGTTGCTTTGTCTTTGTATCATGAGTCAAAAATAAGGAGTCGTGCAAAGACAAAAGGCAGAAACTGTGTATTTTTTGTTTGTGATTTAGTTCAGAAATATATTTTATTTTAAAATCCAACCTCTGCCACCCTCTTTATGTTGTGGCCTTGGCTCAGGATCTTAATACATTAAATAAATACATCTTTATATTCAATTATACTTAAATTATCTTTAATGTGAAAGTATTTTGTGTATTTATTCATAATGTACACACTTTACTGTAAAGAAACTCGTGTGTCAAACTGTTTCACTGTGTAAATGTCGCCGCACGATCCTGATCAGCACTAAACAGAAAATCCAAAGCCTCTTCTAGATAATTTTAAACAAACTCCATGACGACTCGAGCCTGGTGAGGTGTTTTTCTTATAACGGATGGAAGTCTGGGCAAAATCAAACACATAATGATCATGTCAGTTTCCTCTGCACGTTGCCTTTGCACGACTCCTTATTTCTGAGAACAGGAACTGATGAATAAAGGTCAAAGGTTCATTTTGAGCTCAGTATTTTTCGCATAAAAATATTTCTTCATTATAGCAACTAATGGTCAAATTTTGGGAGCTCGACCTATTACACTTTTGTCTGGACAAAACAGAAACTATGAAGTAATTTTTCTCAGTTTCACACTCTGGAGAGTTAAGGTCTTTTGCCTTTGTAGGGCAGAATAGTCCAGTGCGACTTACATGTTTTTTTCTTCTTCATTATGCATTTTTTGGCTTGTGCAACTTAAAGTCTGGAAAATACAGTGAATTATATGACTACAATTGTTGGTTGACTAAAGACCTGCCATGTACATTGGTTAATTACCTAAAAAGGGATGCACCATGGTGTCAAAATAGTAGGATCTCACAGATAAATAAATAAAGTTCTAGGAAACAGCAGCTTCATAAGTGTAAATAAAAACTGTCCTGTCACTATCAAAACTCCATCGAACTGTATAAGTCATTATTATTAAACCTTGATGTTATTTCCTGATGCTCTTACCACCAGTCTGCCTTTGTAGGAGCATCGTCGGCCTCTGCACTCGGCCGGAAACACTCTCATCTCTTTGCACACGCTCCCTTTGGCCACCGTCGGGCTGAAGATGACGGCCTCTGCGAACGCCAGACTGACGCGGTCATTCCTGAAGGTGAACTCAAGAGGAGGGATGGACTGGAAAAGACGAGGGAAAACGATGAGACCAGGGACGAAGGACAAGACAGGACTGAAGAAGACTTTTAACAATCAGAACTGGCAACGATAAACTGATAAACAATGACTATTAATGACAATCAGTCCAATACAATCAATCCAGTGTTGATGAAAATGTGTCCTGTATTTCAAAGACACTGAGGTTAAGTTTTGTGGCATCTGAGTGGGCATTAGGAGTGTGCAAAAATATTGAAATATCAGTATATCGTATCGTTTAATGTGATGATTCAGTGTCAATATCATGGGCTGCTGTATATATATATATATATATATATATATATATATATATATATATATATATATATATATATATACCAAAGAGTATTTTTTGGCATATTTTATTCAATTATTTTGTTACAGAGCTACAGTTTTGTTGCTTGTTCAGAGGAAGAAAACTCATTTATGCGACACATTTGACATTTTCTTTGTTTTATGGGCATGTTTCATAAAAACTCTGCACAGGAAGTGGTTTAACAAAGACTTTTAGTATCGCAGACATAATTTAGCCTTTATTTTTTAATTGAATCATATCGAATTGATTGATCGAAAGCTCACTGTATCGGGATATGTATCGTACCATGGCTTATGTATCGAGGTATGTATCGCACCAGCAATTTCTTAACGACACCCAGCCCTAAGTCACCCCTCACCCTAAATAAATGTTTACTGAAACATGTGTGAATGAAACAAAACACAACTCCAGGTCTGTTTTTGACGAGGTAACAACATTAGGGTGACTAGATTTCAAATCAAAAACTGGGACTCCTCCAGTTTGTGGTGGTTGGTAATAATAAAATTGTGAAACGAGTGTGTGGTTAAAGAAAATGTTTATACACTTGGCCCATTCATGACGAACACGTGAGTCGGTATAGTCACATTTTCTTTGTGTTTTGGTCGTTTTTAAGCAGCTTTTCTGTATTTTACCTAAACAAACATCAATGTATGCCTCTTTTTAGTGTTGGCAGGGATCAGATTGGTCAAAAATAGGGACATTTCTTGTATAAAACTGGGACACACGACTCAAAACTGGGACTGTAAAAAGGGTAAAAATCAGTGTTGGGGAGTAACAGATTACATGTACCGGAGTTACATAATCAGAGTACAAATTATGAGTAACTGTATTCAGTTACAGTTACTGTTTCAGTGAGTGGTAATTGGATTACAGTTACTTTGTTGAAATAAATGGATTACACGGCGGATATTTTCATGTTTTTACATTTCGGGCTATATCCCTTTTTTTTTTTTTTTTTCTTTCTGTAATTCCACTCATTGCCGGACACTAAACCAGGTCTAAAACCAGGTCTAAAACCAGGTCTAAACTAGGTCCAAACCAGGTCTAAACCAGGTCTAAAACCAGGTCTAAAACCAGGTCTAAAACCAGGTCTAAAACCAGGTCTAAACTAGGTCCAAAACCAGGTCTAAACCAGGTCTAAACCAGGTCTAAAACCAGGTCTAAAACCAGGTCTAAAACCAGGTCTAAAACCAGGTCTAAACCAAGTCTAAACCAAGTCTAAACCAGGTTTAAAACCAGGTCTAATCTAATCTATATCTAAACCAGGTCTAAAACCAGGACTAAATCCTGCTGTGTGAACGTGTCTCCTCTTCTTCTATCAATAATATTTTTAATTTGGTTCAGTAAAGTCTGGGCCTTTTTATTTTCTGTTAACAGACAAAACATCTTATGTGAAGATTTCCTCGTCTTTGTTTCTCTACTGCAAATCAAGTAATCCAAAGTATTCAGATTACATTACTCACTTTAACTTTTTACGTTACAAACTACATTTTGGGGTGTGTAATCTGTAATCTGTAGGGGATTACATTTTAAAAGTCACCTTCCCAACACTGGTCACTCTAAACAACATTATAATACAACTTAAAGCTCATAAAAGTGTATTTTACGCAACACAGGACGTTTCACACCTGCACGACGCGGCTCAGTCCGTCTGTCACCGCCTGGTCGAATGACTCGATGTGCGCTCGGGTCAGGTCCTGTACCGCGGGGTGCTGCTTTTCCTTCAGCGACCCGAAGTCTCCGTCCGTCAGGTTCTTGAGGCTCGGGGCCGTGGGCAGGTCGGTCCACTGCGGAGACGGGTCCATGTCTGCGCGTCCTGGTCCTGGTGGTGGTTCTGCGCGTCCTGGTCCTGCGCGTCCTGGTTCTGGTCCGGTTCTGCGCGTCCTGGTTCTGGTGGTTCTGGTGGTTCTGGTGGTTCTGGTGGTTCTGGTCCGGACACTACAGCGGCACCATGCTTGTTTACAACACGTGCAAACTCAAACCGGAAAAGCACACGAGAGTCACCGGAAGTTTGGGTTCGTGAAAAGAAAGATCGGTGGATTGTTTAGTGACACCTGCTGGTTCAAAATGTCCTCCTGCAGTAGAACTAGAATAAAATCTAATAATAATAAAATAAAATACATACACAGTGTTGGGAAAGTGACTTTTAAAATGTAATCCCCTACAGATTACAGATTACACACCAAAATGTAGTTTGTAACATAATCCATTAAATGACTTAAAGTGAGTAATGTAATCTGAATACTTTGGATTACTTGATATTGTCAGGCTTTTTAAAACTACATGAATGTATCGACCACATCCTGAAAATTCTTGTTTGTTTTTTTCAAATTGTCTGTTGAGCCCAAGTCTCCATGAACAGATTTGCTGTAGTGTTGTGAGATACATAAAAAAAAAATGTGTTTCTCACCTTCCACGGTGGTATGGTCTCTCTCACCCTATTCAGCTCGGGTCCTCTACCAGAGGCCTGGGAGCTTGAGAGTTCTGCGCATATCTTTGCTGTTCCCAGTACTGCACTTTTCTGGATGAGATGTCCGTTGTTTTTCCCGGTATCTGTTGTAGCCACTCTTCCAGTTTGGGGTTACAGCCCCGAGTGTCCGATACCACAGGCACCACTGATGCCTTTATTTCCAGGCTCTCTCCAGCTCTTCCTTGAGCCCCTGGTATTTCTCTAGCTTCTCGTGTTCCTTTTCCTGATATTACCATCGCTTGGTATTGCGATGTCCACCACCACGGCTCTGCTCTGTTTCTTATCCACCACCACTATGTCTGGTTGGTTCACCATCACCATTCTGTCAGTCTGTATCTGGAAGTCCCACAGGATCTTGGCTCGGTCATTCTCCACAACCTTTGGAGGTGTTTCCCACCTTGATCCTGGGGTTTCCAGCCCGTACTCTGCACAGATGTTTCTGTACACTATGCCCGCCACTTGGTTATGTCGCTCCATGTATGCTTTCCCTGCCAGCATCTTACACCCTGCAGTTATGTGCTGGACTGTCTCAGGAGCCTCTTTGCACAGTCTACACCGTGGGTCTTGTCTGGTGTGGTAGATCTGGGCCTCTATTGCTCGAGTGCCCAGGGCCTGCTCCTGAGCAGCCAGGATCAGTGCCTCTGTGTGTCCTTCAGACCAGCCCTCTCAAGCCATTGGTAGGATTTCTTGATATCAGCCACTTCAGTTATGCTCCGGTGGTACGCCCCATGTAGGGGTTTGTCCTGCCATGATGGTACCTCCAGCACCTCTTCCTCTGGACCCTCTGGACATATATATATATATATATATATATATATATATATATATATATATATATATATATATATATATATATATATATATATATATATATATATATATATATATATATATATATATATATGTCCTCCTATGTGCAATGTTTACAGTGGCAAGTGGCGTGTGCGTGAGTGAGGGACTGCGTGCGCGCCCCCGAGGCACGCGCTTTTGAACGGGCCCGCGGAGCGTACGGGCGTCTGTCTGTTTTTTTTTATTCAGTGTGTGAAATGAATGGTGAGGAGGCGACCGGAGCGAGGGCCATGTTATTTAGTGCAAATAAAACCACGAGTCTTGAGCGAAGACCTGACTTGTTTATTGAGCCCGCGCACTCACTGGAGGGTCCGAACACGGGAGTCAAACCCCGAGGGACGAGCGGCTGCTGCGCCCCTTTGGCCCTGGAGACGAAGACGGTTCTCCCCTGTGTCCTCGGACCACGGTCCGAGGACACAGGACCGAGGACCGAGACAGGGACGGTTTAACAGTAGAGAAGCAAAGATGAGGATCTGAACATAAGATGTTTTATCTGCTTAAAGACAATAAAAAGCCCAGACTTTCCTTAAACATATGAAAAATATTATTGATAGAGAAATGCTATTATATATGAGATCACTGCTGCCTTCAGTTATGTCCAACCTACTGTTAAGTGTCATATTGTTTAGACCTGGTTTTAGTCTTAGTTTAGTCCTAGTTTAGTCCTGGTTTTAGTCCTAGTTTAGTCCTGGTTTTAGTCCTGTTTTAGTCCTGTTTTAGTCCTGTTTTAGTCCTGTTTTAGTCCTGGTTTAGCCCAAAATGTGAAAACAGGAAAATACCTCCATGTAATCCATTTATTTCAACAAAGTAACTGTAATCCAATTACCACTCACTGAAACAGTAACTGTAACTGAATACAGTTACTCATAATTTGTACTCTGATTACATAACTCCAGTACATGTAATCTGTTACTCCCCAACACTGTACATACATAAAATAATAAAATAAAACAAATACATAAAATAATAAGAAGAAAAATAAATAAATAAATAATCTTGGAAAATGCAGCTCTGGATCTGGACATTGAGTTTGTTTTACTTCACTGCAAAAACCAAATCCCCGTGGTGTTTAATGAAAAAAATGTGTAGAATGCTTTAATTAATTAATTTTATTTTGTTATGCTAATTAAGTTTTACTGAAATAAGAAGTGTAACCTGTCATATGCACTTTCATGTGAGCACGATTTTAGTCACCCCTCCACTTGAGGCATCGCAGATACAACTGGTTGAAAGTAGTTTCCTCTGCAGGGTGTCTGGGCGTCTCCCTTAGAGACAGAGTGAGGAGCTCAGTCACACAGGGAGGAGCTCGGAGTAGAGACGCTGCTCCTCCACGTCGAAAGGAGCAGCTGAGGCTCGGGCATCTGTTCTGATGCCTCCTGGGCGTCTCCCTCAGGAGGTGTTCCGGACATGTCCCACCAAGAGGAGGCCCCGGGGAAGACCCAGGACACACTGGAGGGACTATGTCTCTGGACTGGCCTGGGAACACCTTGGGAGGAGCTGGAGGACGTGTCTGGGGTGAAGGAAGTCTGGGAGTCCCTGTTTAGACTGATGCTCCCGCGACTCAGCCCCGGAAAAGTTGAAGAAAATGGATGGATGGACGATTTTAATCATATTTTCCTTCTTTCTATGGAAATGTCATTGCTCTGCCTGGAATGTTCCACAGTGTGACATTAAACATCTCAACCTTACATTCATTCAACTACAGGCTCAAAACATTTCTGTTTGACTGTGCATATGACTGAAAGGTTTTCATTCCGCACTCTTCTCTCCAATTTATGTCTCTCTTTTTTTATTTTAATCTTCATGATTTTTTATGTTTTGATTTGTTTTTATTATGATTTTAATGTATTTCTTATTCTGTAAAGCACTTTGATTTACTTTGTGTACGAATTGTGCTGTACAAATAAACTTGCCTTGTCTTACAAGGTGGTATTACAACTCAAAAATACATAGAAAAAACTTTCTGACTGTGAGCGGGGTCGCCTCTCCACAGATCTGACCTGGAACTTGGTCTGGTGTGGTCTCCATGAAGATAAAAAGATTTAATACCATACTGTGGAACATTCTAGATGGACCCTTCATCAGAAAAGTTACACAATGTACCTTTAAATCTCCAAACTGCTTATATCTTATATCTTACATCTGCCGTTTCTTTTAAATAATGAGTCAACTTCATACAGTGCTTATTATTTTATTTAACTTAACATTAACATTAACATTTCCTTCCTGAAAAGCAGTCTCAGGTTTTATAACGTTATACAGACCGATGAAACGCCCTAAACCTTTTAAAACCCACAGAATATTTCAGCTGGTTCCTCAGTCGTCTTCGTCCTCGTCCTCCTCTTCCTCGTCTTCTTCTTTGGCCGCCTCCTGCTCCTCCAGCGCGTCCTTCAGGTCCTGCTCTTCCTCTACGCTGGGGTCCCCGTCCTCTGTGATCTCGGGGCCGCTCGGGTACTCCCTCTGCGGCGGGGGAGGCACGGGCGGGCTGTACCCCTCCCCCGTGTACTTCAGCCCCCAGCCGATGTAAACGTTCTCAAACTTTCTACAGGGAGAAACAGAAGATGGTTTGGTTTAAGACACAAGAGAACTACGAGGAATTTGAGCACTGGTTCCATTTGCCGTTTCATGTATAGTTTACCAATCTAGTTTATTTTGAATTGCATATTTTCTATTCACCTGCTGATCTTCTACTACAACACTGGAATTTCCCCCATTTTCACAACTCAAATTGATCTATTTTCTTAAAAACTCGTTATCCTGACCTGATGTAATCCTCATTTGTCCATGTTACTTAACAGCCCATGATCAGAGCTGGGACCAGATCGTTGTTTTGCGAGTCTAGTCAGTGTTTGACCTCAAGTCCAAGTCAAGTCCCAAGTCAAATACAGGCAAGTCCAAGTCGAGTCTTGAATCACTGGCCCATAAGTCCAAATCAAGTCCAAGTCGTCTGCTTTGAGCTTCAAGTCATTTCATAGCTTAGATTTTTGCAATTTTAGATGAATTTTAAACTAAACTATTAAACTGGTATATTTATATATGAGTATTTATATAAGAGTTGCAGAAATGTACTTTTTTTCTTAGTGTGAATCGTTACGCTCAGACTTAGTGTTGCTGTCAAGAGCGCACTAATCGAGACCAAGACCAGTCCGAGACCACAGGGACCCGAGACCAGGACAAGACCAAGACCTCCGAGGGTCGAGACCGAGACAAGACCGAGACTTTTAAAGGTCGAGACCGAGACAAGACCGAGACAAGACCGAGATCACGACCCATCGAGACCAAATCGAGACCGTCTTTGTGATTTTTGATATTTATTTGTATTTTAGAGTTATTTTGGCACATTTAGATCAGTGTTTTTATAAATCTATCTCCATTTTATCACTTGTCGAGTCCAAGCGCCTTCCAGACCGAGACAAGACCGAGCCTAAAAGCCTTCAAGACCGAGTCCTAAACGCCTTCAAGACCGAGTCCAAGTGCCTTCAAGACCGAGTCCAAGTGTCTTCAAGACCGAGTTTAAACGCCTTCAAGACCGAGTCCAAGTGCCTTCAAGCAAGACCAAGACAAGACCGAGTCTAAACGCCTTCAAGACCGAGTCCAAGTGTCTTCAAGACCGAGTCCAAGTGTCTTCAAGCAAGACCGAGACAAGACTGAGTCCAAACGCCTTCAAGTCCGAGTCCAAGCGCCTTCAAGCAAGACCGAGACAAGACTGAGTCCAAACGCCTTCAAGTCCGAGTCCAAGTGTCTTCAAGCAAGACCAAGACAAGACAGAGTCCAAGTGTCTTCAAGACCGAGTCCAAGTGTCTTCAAGACCGAGTCCAAGTGTCTTCAAGACCGAGTCCAAGTGCCTTCAAGACCGAGTCCAAGTGTCTTCAAGACCGAGTCCCTTCAAGACAAGTCCAAGTGTCTTCAAGACCGAGTCCAAGTGCTTCAAGACCGAGTCCTTCAAGACCAAGTCCAAGTGCCTTCAAGACCGAGTCCAAGTGTCTTCAAGACCGAGTTTAAACACCTTCAAGACCAAGTCCAAGTGTCTTCAAGACCGAGTCCAAGTGCCTTCAAGCAAGACCAAGACAAGACCGAGTCTAAACGCCTTCAAGATCGATACAAAACTAAGTCCAAACACTGCCGAGTCCGAGACGAGACCAAGAATGCAAAAAAACAGTGTCGAGGCTGGTATCGAGACCAAGACCAAGTCTTGAGTACTACGACACTAGTCAGAATAAAAAGAGTAAAGATTTAAAAGAATTAAATAACTTTTTTTTGGCGTGTGTCTGCACTGAAATGGAAGGATCATGTTCTGTGTAGTTCCCTTTGTTTTACTGCATTGCACTGTAAATACTGCAGTAAATTTGAGTATCACTGTACTTCAGTTTCATCCAAAGTAACAAACAGAAGTGGGAGGGACATGTTCCAGTTTGTTCCTGTAAAATTAATCACCACATTTATCAACTGTAAACAGAAAAGTATTTTCTAAAAACATATATATTTTTATTTTTAGGAGAAGCATCGACTCTTCTCAAGTCACAGGTTTTAAGTCCAAGTCCCAAGTCACTGACCTTCAAGTCCAAGTCCAGTCCCAAGTCTTAGTCTATTTCATCAAGTCTCAAAAATAGTCCTAAAAAGAGTGACTCAAGTCTGACTCGAGTCCAAATCTCCATCTCTGCTTTTTATTCTAATTGTCTCTTTCTGTGGCACAAATGGAGTAAAATATAGGATTAAAAGTAAAAGTTGCGTTCACATTGTAGATCTTGATGAACCTTTGTAAATACTTGAATCTTATTATTATTTTTTAGGAATTGTCTCCACAAAATTGCCTTATTAAAGTAAAGGCTATACCGAATACAAAATTCAAAATAACCTAACTGTGATAAATGCTGCAGCCCCAAAGCTAAGAAAAACATAAAAAAATAAATAAAATCTTACTTTCCGGTGGCGTAGGCATAAGCTCCGGGCCACAGGTTGGAGCGGACAAAAGCCACGGCGTGTTCTGGAGTCAAACTGGACGACATCTTCAGAGTCCAGGGAGGAGTGTTGAACAGTTCTACGAAACAGAGAAGAGTTTTTTTGTTTGTTTATTTTGTATCTCCGTCCAAAATCTAAACTCTGCAGGTGTTGACAGTCACATCCAAGATAAAAATATATTGTTAATGGGCAGATTTTGTTAGGACAATATTGTAGTGCCACTGTAAAAATGTTTAATTATATCAACATTTAAAGGTGCACTGTGTAACTTTTTGGTTTGAGGTCTGTCACATTCTTGTTTCAGCTAAAATTTGGAATCAAAATAATTCAAACATGTTTTATCAGGGTTAAAAAATTCAGTGGCATTTTAAATTCATAATCTAATGGAACAAATTATCTTCCATAGGGACGCCTCTCCACAGATCTGACCTGCAACTTGGTCTGGGTTTAAGAGAATAGATAATAATACTTAACACTTGTAACACTTGTATGGCGCTTTTCATGACACTCAAAGACGTTTAAGATAGAAAGCTTTGATGCCAAACTGTGAAACATCTCCAGAAAAATGCACATTTAAAGGTTGTATGGAGGATTTTTTGTTTTGTTTCAAATTGTCATTGAAAGTTTAAAATACCATTACAGAGACGCAGCGGCCTTGTAATCATGATGACCAAAAAAAAAAAAAAAAGAATGAAAATCTATCAACTGTGGATGTAGTGAGGCCGGATAAACATCAGCCAATAGAAAACGAGGCTACCTCATTTTCTATTGGCTGTTAGGTCGTCAATCAAACTCCCTACGTTTATGCAGAGGTTCTTAGGCTGCGTTCAGACTGCAGCCTGAAGTGACCCAAATCTGATTTTTTGGCTTCTGTGTTCCTGTATCTGATCTTTTAATGACAGTCTGAACGACACAGATCTGATTTTTTCAAATGTGACCCAGGACACTTGGATATGTGCTCCTGAAACCGATACATATCTGATCTTTTGACATGTGACTTCAGTGTGAACGGCCAAAGCGCATTCATCCACCTACACGTTATCAACAAGACACAAACGTCACTATTCTGCGCTGAAGTCGGCGAAAATTGTTAATGAACTCCGTGTCACTGAAGTGAAGCACATCACCACTCACCACTCTTGGCTCCGTCTCCACATCCACACGTTCCTTTCAACAGACACTGCCCCACAAAACACCACGACCAAAAACCTCGTCCTTCTCCTTCTCAATCTCCTCCTTAAAACAAGTAAGTTGTTCATGTTCTGGCTCCGGTACGAGAGGAACTTTAAAATCTCTCTCAACTAAAAAGTTGGACAACTTCTGTAAACACAGAGCACGCTCGCTGCGGTTGACGTCGTCGTGTCTCCAGTGCACATACGGGACACTTTTGGGCCGTTTAACATTCACACAGGAGACACATACAAATCACATTTAATTGGAAATGTGAACGACCTCGAAAAAACATCGGATTTCACAAAAAATCGGAATTGAGCGTTAAGCCCTGCAGTCTGAACGTATGTCTTAGAGGCTTTTTCAAACTGTCACTTCCTCGCAATTTGCAAAGTTTGTTGCGATGGTGGACAAGAATCCACGACCAGTTCGCCCCAAAAGAAAATCCGTTTTTGAGATCGCTGAAAGAACAAGAGAAGGGGAAAAGGAGCGAAACCAAACTGACGTGATTCTTGGAGATTCCTTCCAGCGATGGCGCGAATGAAGCAGACGAAGGGTCTAAAAACTGACGCGTCGATCACTAAATTATTTCTAGACAGGAAACTTCAACAGTAATTCTGAACGAGCACTGGCTGTAAACAAATGTAATTTCTAGAGTAAAGAGGCAGGAGGAGATGTTTCTACTGAGGAGCTGTGGAGGAGGAAGGTGGTGTCACACAAGCACAACATTTGAAAAAGGACTGTCGCTGTTTTTCACTTCCCTTAAAAAATCCTCTGTACAACCTTTAAGCATGAATTTACCGTGCACCTTTTTGATTGCCAACAGTAATTTTTTTTCTACTATTTGATTTAAAACAAAATATGACTGTACCTATGTCTTGGGACAGAGGTGTGAGCAGTGGAGGCCCCAGCTCAGGCTCTGCTTCCTCTGACTCTTCCTCTCGCTCCTCCTCTCCTTCCTCGTTCTGTTCTTCTGCTTTTGACGTGAGGTTCACCCACGTACAGCGACCCTGAAGAGTAACAATAAGAAATACTAAACTTTCTAAACTTTTCCATGGCTTTTTCATGACCTAAAGTGAATTTTCCATGACTTTACAGCACCTACATGTGGAGAACTGATCAGACTTTTAGGGCTAAATATGAAATGTGAACTCTTCCCACTCACCTTATGGTTTGGGATTATACTTTTTTTAACATTCTAAATCCTGTCAGTGCATTTATTGTCGTCTCTTTTAAACAAAAGGTGCAGACGTTCAGAAATAATCAGAATCGCTTAATGAGAACTTAAAAGAATGCTGGAGTTGTGTGAAAGAGATACTAAAATTCCATGACTTTTGCGAAACTTTCATTGAATCTACAAAATTCCATGAATTTTCCAGGCCTGGAACATGACATTTTCAATTTCCATGACGTGGGAACCCTGTGTACAACAAGCTCTATTCACGCTCACATCACAAAACCAGCAGACGTCAGAAACATGTGGATGACGACTTCCTTTGGGCTTTGTTGGCAACAGTAACACAATCTGGGAAAACTGAGAAAATAGCCCAGTTTTCTTCATCTAGATCAGGAGTGTCAAACTCAAATTCACAGAGGCCAAAATTAAAAAGTGAAACTAAGTCGTGGGCCAAACTAAATATTTATTGAAAAACTTCAACAACATTTGCATATTTTCTTTTCTTTCGAATATGTAATGTTAAACCTTTTCTTATTAAAATAAATGTTTGATAATAGATTTGCTTAAATATTGAATCCAGAAGAAGCAGAATATAAAACAATAACAACATTTTAAATAAATAAAGTCAATATAGTCTATCTGAGTGGGTCAGCTCTAATACATATTTGATATGATCTTGTGGGCCAAATTTAATTATATCACAGGCCAAATTTGGCCCCCGGGCCTGAGTTTGACATGTCAGATCTGGATGTCTTTGTATTCTTTCTTTTTTCCTTTTATAAACTGCTTATTAATTTGTGCTTTTATAATTTGTCTAATTTAATAAAAAAGACGTCATTGTAGTGTTCCGTTATGTTCGACAGATCAACAGTTCCAACCAGCTGTTTGTAAGTGACGTGGAAGAAGTGGATTAGAGTCTTGTCCTCCACGGAAATCTTTGGCAAGTTGTGAAGACGCTGCTGCTGAATCCACAGTTTTATTGTTTTATCTCATGCCCAGTGTCGGTAAGTACACCGGAAGTCGTCATCCGCATGTTTCCAAACGTCTTAGAGCCAATACATAAGAAACAAGTGACATTCTGTAACTCCTTATGTCCTATATCTTTAGTAGTAGATTCTCCAAACAAACTTCTCTTATTTGAGTAATTTATTGGACCACTACTTTGTACTTTTACTTGAGTAGTATTATTTTAAAGTACACAAGCACACAACAACAGTAGAGCTTCAAAACATCAGTATTTCTAGTATAAGATGACACATTTTCTCCCCTCTAAAACCACTGTCCTAAAATGTTTGCAGACAATTTATGATGATTTGTTAAACGTGACTAGTTGTGTGCTCACTCACCTGTTCCAGAATGTGCTGCGTGTGGTGGACCCACGCGGACAGAGACTCGGACAGTTTGACGGCCGGGAGCCCCTCGAACTCTGGGTCCGCCTCGTAAGTGTCCTGGGTCACCTCGTCCTCCTCGTTCCCCTCCTCTTCTTTAAAGTGGTAAAAACCCTTTGGACTCACCTGTCCAGAGGAAACACGAAAAAATGACAAATGCTGAATATTTGTTTATAATTCTGGAAAAGTAGAATTAAAAATATACAGTATAAAATATATTTATGGGGTAAATTCTCCTTCTGAGATACACATAAACATAAACATGGGCATTGTAGGGCACTTCCACTCATCCTGTTTTTTCCTGGTCAGTTTGAATCCTGATGTAAATGTGGGTTAGTCTTGTCCCAGTTCTGGTCTAGTCCTGGTTTAGTACTGGTCTAGTCCTGGTTTAATTATGGGTTTAGTCTCAGATTGTCCTAATTGCGATGGACTGATTGTGCAAACTCCTGGACGCCTCTCTGGGGAGGGCACGTCCCACCGGGAAGCCAGAGGAATTATATCCCTGGGCTGGTCTGGGAACACCTCGGGATCCCCTGAAAGAGCTGGAGGAAGTGTTTGTGGAGAGGGAAGTCTGGGAGTCCCTGCTCAGACTGCTGTCCTCGCGACCCAGCCCCAGATAAAGTGGAAGAAAATGGATGGATGGATGATTGTGCGAACTAATGAATGCATCCTTTATAGTACTGTGTTTTTCGGACTGTAAGACGCACTTTTTTTCATGGTTTGGGTGTTTCCTGTAACTTATACTCCGGTGCAACTTATATATTAAAATTTTCAGACTGAAGCCATGAGAGGCTCTAGGCTCGTGTGTCAGTTTTCTGCGCATGTCTCTGGCAGAAAAAGCCTCTGTCCTGCTGCAAGTAGTGAAATATACAGCAGAAAACGGTAATCGAAGCAGCAGAAAGAAAGTTTGGAGTGAGTGAGAAACTTGTGAGGGACTGGAAAAAAGCGGGAATGGAGAACACAGCTTCACGGTAACAGGAAGGATGCACCATGAAACTTTCTGGGAAGTCACTGGATCGACAAATCCTGGACTTCAGCCTGGACTCTCCACAGATCTGATGATAGAAAGCTTTAATCTTTACTGGCACACAATAACATTTCCGTAGGGAAAAGAAGTTGGCGTCTACAAATTTTGCACAATGTGCCTTTAAGATAAATTTATACCCTCTAATTTGAACATTTTGGAAGCCCTGAGAGGCAAGCTTTTATCCAAAAAAAAAACCAAACAAAAAAACAAAAACAAAACAAAAAACATAGAAAATTGAGCCAAATGACGTGCCTCTTTTTTTTTGTTTTGCTCTCTGCTCAGGGTTTCCGAAAAACCTTTAACAAATAAGTGTTGATAAAAATGTGGTTGCTGAATTACTGACATGATAAATGGTAAATAGTCACATTTATATCACGCTTTTCCACTTTCAACGCACTCAAAGAGCTTTACACACTCACACATTCACACACTGGTGTATGCAGACATTAGGATTGAGGTGAGTTAAGTGTCTTGCCCAAGAACACAACAGCAGCATTCATCTGTGGGAGCTGGAATCTTTGCACAAACAGGTGGCGCGGTATATTTTTCATGTAAATAACTCCGGTCCGTCTCACCTGTGTCCCTCCGGAGATGCGAGCGATCTGGGCCCTCAGGTAGTTGGCCTCGTTGCCGGGGAAAGGCGGGAAGCTCTCGATGGGAGCGTCCAGTCTCCCGGTGAAGAACTTCTTGATGAGGCGCGCGGCGGTGATCTGAGCC